GTTCTCTCATCCCTAATGACAGGGTCTTCATAAAAAACAGATCACAATGTCTTTAAAGACGCTAAAATTTTTGATGGGGCCAAACCAATTACCTCCTCCATCATAAATGACTGACAGCTGGTGAGCATACCGCTGAAAACCTGAGACAGGAGGGTGGCTATGAATCCATTTCACAGGCAGAAGAGTAGAACGAACATTTCCTTGTCAAAAATAATTAATCAAAGAGACAAGACTGGCCTGAGTGAACCCAATAGCCAAAGGAAAGTTCTATGCGAAACACTTTATATCACAGTCATTCTACCATTTCTCCTCCCCTTCTTTTCTTTGTTACTCTGTTTTTCCCTTTAGCTGTAAGCCTTTATTCCTCTATACAGAACACATCTCGGCCCTCCCCTCCTGCTTGAACTCTCTTTGGACTCCAAATGCTAATTCAGTCAGACACTTAATCAGACATATTAATTCCATATCTCCCCTGATTGCACTAATAGCACTCTGCAATGAGTTTCTCCACGGCGTCCCTTTGGTGCATCAGAATTTTAAACTATGGTGCTAACCAAGGTCCGTAAAAGCATTTTTTTGAAAACAAGTAATGCCATATGTTGACAACAAATGTATGGCACAGAGAATATGTTGGGCACCCGCCACATGTGGCAGTTTGTGTTGTATCATGTTTTCCTTCAGCCATACAGCCAGTTCAGTTCTATTGACCATGTTTTGTGTCATATTAAAAAGCAGTACATGAAGCCATTCTATTAAAAATAAATAGACCTTGTCTAGTACCAGTTTGCAAATTACAAATATGAATAAAATCTGGCAACACTGTCCACTCTTTCTGAATCACTTTGGCTAAACAACACACTATGGCGGCTTATTTTTTTCTTTACTACCAAGAAAGTCAGTGGTAGTGATTAGACAGTAAATTCATTATACAGAAATGCAGAAACAAGCATTCCTGTACAAACACACACACATGCGCACACACACAAGCGAACAGAGATAAACAGAATATGCCTGAAAAGCCTGTAAGCTCTCATATTGTCTACTGACAAATGGTGTACATAGCTGAGACGTGTATTAATTAAAATCATATTAAAGTACTGATTTAGCCGCATACTAATTTAATTAAGTCACAGATCATGTAATTGAGAGAATTACAAAATTGCATTCTTTGTTCCAGATAATTGTATTCCTTCTTAATGCCTACTTTAAAGTCCATTAATTTGTTTTATCTCTTCAACATCATCTTCCTTGGACTTTTTCTAATAGAAAATATAGCTTGAAATCTCTGTGTGCATTTGCGCCATGTCAAAGCAAACAGTAGATATATCTTGGATCTTTTTAAACTTCTTGATGTGATCTATCTGCCTTTACAAGCAAAATCAGTTACACTACAGCCATGAACAAAAGTGTACATGTTAACGTAACTAATATTTTAACATCCTATCTATCTATCTATCTATCTATCTATATTTTCCTTATTGTCTGGTCACTGAGGAATTTGGACTGGCGAGGGTCCTCTACCAGACGCAGATGGATTTACCATTAGATAATGACAAATGGCAGGCGCAGCTGATTTCAGCACTTACTGCTCCCTTGGGAGCTGTACTCACCACACTGCAAACCACACTGACCACCCCCACCCAAGATCTTAATTGAACGAGTGGCTGTGCAGCCGATTGATTCAGCCTGACATGCATTTCTGGTCATTTCCAGTGGGTGATGTAGTGTGACCTGCGGGTCAAAATATGCTGCAATCTGGAGCAGAAGGCACTGACACTGGTCTTGATTTGTTGGACTACTACTCTTTCTGAGAGGGACTTCATCTCTGTGAGTTCATGGGCGATAAAAGAGAGAAGAAAAAATGGCCAGTCCGTTCATGTCCTAGAGACCCCTAAAGATATGACTAGAAATGCATTGGACTGGCTGAAGATGTTATGAGATAATAAATGGTTTAACTACAATGTTTCTGATGTTTAATGTTTGTGACAGAGTTCAAGAGGCAGCGAGTCCACCACGATCTGCTCCACACATAGGAAAGTGGGGATCAGTCCGCTGTCTCTCTGCATTAGGTGTGACTTTCCAAAATCAGTGACAGTGACATGCTTATGAATTTCATATGTTGGTTAAACTGATGCAGTCTATATCTATCTATAATCACTTTTTTCTCCCTCTATCTGGGTTAAATGGTGTGGCTGCACATGAGCAAATTGTATTCAGTTGTGTGGTGCGGCACATAATAATATAATAATATTGTGTATATACTTTTTTTGAACACTGGATATAATGCCATATAATGTTTAAGAATCAGAATCAGTTTTATGTGTTCACATAAGAGGAATTTGACTCAGGATTGTACATTGCTCACGATGCGCTTACTTATACAATAATACAATAAAACAATAAAATCAAACACATGCGACAGTATAGAGAACACCCATATGCACACTATAAACAAAAACAAAAACCATATAGACAGATTGACAGATACAGGAGTAAATTATTATCATAATTATTATTATTATTATGTACATGTCGGAGGTGGATGTGATAAACAGGTACACATACACATACATTCATACATGTACACATGTGGGGGGCAAAAACTGTTCCTGAGTCTGTTGGTTTGGGCGTACAGTGCTCTGAAGCACCTACCAGAGGGGAGAAGCTGGGACAGGTTGTGTCCGGGGTGAGATGGATCTGCAGTGAGAATGAGTGATGTTTAATTTAATAAATCCTATTAATTGCTCTAAAAAATATTACAGAACCTGATCAGAGCTGTGGGTGCTGAACTCTTACCCTGTAGTTAAATAACAACACTGCGTGTGGACTCACACAAGCAAATCACACATTTTCATCTCTTTCCTAAAAGACCTAAACACCATTGAAGCAGCAGCTGTCTCTGACAGATGAGACTGTCTGAAGTTTGAGTATGGTTCTTTCTTTTTAATTAGAAAGAACATACATCTTTTAGACACATTCTGAAAAACTGACTCGAGACATGCTTTGAAAAATGGAATGATGTAGTGTTTTGTCAAAGGAGGAAAGCCAGGGGGTGTTTTGTGTGTGTGTTGATGTTGTTGATAATAACAACAATGATAATGATTACGGTAAAGCTCATATCCATCATCGCTATCTGTGGGCATAATTTGTCATTCTTAGTTTCAGCCAGAGAGCATAGGATAGTTCTTCCGCAACTTACTGTGCTGCAATGTCAGTTACATTACCGGGTTATCTTGTTACCTGTGCAGCATTTGAACAATTTTGTCTTATTTATCACTGAGCACTGTAGTTTATTTTACTGGCAGGCATTTCCTGCAACAACTCGCCTCTCGCAAGATCTCAGAGCAAGAATTGTCCTTGTTAAAAACAAAGGGTGTCACTGGGAGTCACTCGTAGGAATCTTTTCCACGATAATGTCAGTATAATAGTCTGAGCCTGTCAGTGGCAAAAAGAAACACTTTTTTTGGACTTAATTTTGACGGGCGGAATTGCCCCAAATGAATACTTTGCAGCCACTGCAGCCGGTTTGCTGCTGGCAGCTAAAGCCATCTGCTGCACGGATTCTAAAGCTTTTTGGACCTACCAGTCATTTTGACCAGTCTTTTCGACACCAAAATGTGAAATAGGGTTTAAAAATACCAAAATTATGCTTTAAATACTCACTAGAACAGTGGTTCTCAACTTGGGAACTTGGGGGGGGGGGGGGGGGTGGTCGCCAATTGGTTGTGGAGAATAAAATGAATTAACATTTTGTGGCAAGCAGTCCCGAATGACAAACAGGAAGCAGGACTAGAGGACCAAACTTGTGTCCCAAAATAAATTCACTATTTACATTTGCAAAAACTGTTTCAAATGATTATTTTACCGTTTTTTAACCATTCATAACCACATCCCTTGATTTTTAAATTACTGGGCCTATTAACTGCATCCTGTGGCTTGATTTAATAACACATGGTTATCATAGTGAAACGGTCGCAGTTTGGTTAGATTTAGGCACCACAACTATTTGGTTATTCTTAGAAAAAGATCCTGGTTTGCATTAAAATAAGCACATTTTACATACATGAAATAGTTATGTAAGTTACGTAAGCTAAGTCACGCAACTATTGGTTCCACACGAAAAGCAAACAGTGTTCTCCTGATTTTCTCACTCTTTTTACCACACACCTGACTTTACAACATTATAGACCTACAGTGTCTAGTTTGAAGCATTGAGCAAGCATCTATATTTCAGGTGCTGGGAGTGAGAATGGGCTGGTTTGCAGTGTTTTTGACCATTAGCAGGTCATCTGGGTGTAATGCAACTGTAATGTACAAACAGTACTCATTGGCAATGCTGCGTAAATGAGGCCGAGACAGCAGAACCCCTATCTTAAAACACAGGTTGGGGTAATGTTAGGCCCACACAATAATGTTCCTGTGGATCAAACACACACTTGTTTGCACTCACATTTCCTGCACTGCACTAATGGATGGCGGGCGAGCTTTATCTCCATTTGCTTTTGTCCCCCATAATTTATTCAGCAAGGTCTGTCCTCTATGTTGTGTATACGTGCCTTTGTGTGTGCAAGCTACATATGTGTTGGTGTGTGTTTGTGAGGCTTTATGGCTTCGACTGCCCCCTTGTCCCTGGGGAATGAGCTCTTCCAAGTTACAGTACAGTAGCATACTGTACTTGTTAGACAGAGGTTCTCAAAGGCACTAAAATATCAGCATCAGCAGAGTATGCTGAGGAAGTGGTTAAAAGGAAAACTAACAAGATGACTCAATGATTATTTAGAAACAGTAAAGAGAATTTTGAATTAGATGTACTCTATCCTGGGGGTTTAAAAAATAGCATTTTTTGTAGTTGAGTAGATACATCATAATCTTTCAAAAATAGTGCATTATTCATGGGCTGTATTCCATGGAGCCAATGAAACAGAGTGGCCACAAACTGCACCGCTGTAAATGTGTTATCTGTTTTAAAGTGTTTTACAGTTTGCCTCTTGTATTTTCAGGGACAGCTTTACGGTGGATTGGAAGTTAACATGAGGATGACCAGAACCACTTGGAACTGTGATTGAATTGGCAGGTAAAAAAATTAAGTTGACCGAACCAGAAGCATAACCCTAATAAGCAGGACATGTGCAGATGGGATCTAATGCTTTAAGTGAAGAAGAAAAAACAGACAGAAAAAGAAATGCTTGCTTGTCATGTCAGCAATGTGCTCAGTCGAAACCCCGATTATGTGACATGATGTACAAATAACATACTATATTTCATACATTTGACCAAATCTTATTCAGCCATTTTAGAGGGAGATGCAGTAACTATTTCAATGTGGATTCACCTGGCTTTTTTCACACATGGACCTTTTCAGCCAAAATGAATCAACCTTATTATCTTAGCAAACTACTGCTGGAAAGCTTCTCTTTTTTTGTAATTCTCTTATTATACACATGTAAACATCCATGAGACATTCAATCTTCTTTGACATTCCTCTTAACCTCACAGCGGGAAGGCCATTTACAAAAGAAACAAGAAGGAGCATGAAAGAAACATACACATGTAGCTCAGATATTAATGATAGAGACCTTTATGGCAGTCATAAATAAACGGATAAATTTATTTTAAATATGAAAGAAAACAATATATAAATATAGATAAAATAGGAAAAAAGAAAAATAAAAAGTAAAAAAAAAAAGAGAAAATTTATAACAATAGTAAAAAGGCAAACTAAACAAAACTTTCCTTCCTTTTGTTATTTAAAAATCCACTCTGTCACCTCCCAAACATTGTCTTTTGAGGTTGTTTACTTTAAGAGTTGGTGTCTGGGAATGTTGTCAGTGTATCAGGTAAACAATAATATCAAAATGACAATTCAGAACAAGAAACCTTTCTACTTCTGTAGCAATTATCCAAGGAACTACACACTACACTCAGTCATCCTACGAAGTCTGGTCTAATAGGTGACACATATTTTATCGAGTTTTCCCAAAATCTTTCAAATTTGACTGATTCTAATCTAAGAGAGGTCAGTGTTTCGGACAGAACGGACCCAAACGCAACACTTGACAGTTTTCAAAAGAGGTTTATTGAGGAAAAAAGGGAAGATGAGGGGCTGGAGGTGAAAAGGGGGAAGTTGGACGCCAGCAGACGTGGAGCCGGCGGGGCTGGAAAGGTTCCGGCGAGGCGACCGAGAGGGAGCAGGAGGCAGAGGCGAGAGGTGCGAGGAGCGTGGAGGGAAGCCAGGGGAGCGCTGCGGAGGCGAGGGGAGAAGGCAGGTAGGCGAGCCCAGCTGACTGATCAGATGACGGAGGTGAGTGGACCTGGCGTGGAGAACAGAAAAAACAGACAGGGTTAGTTTCTGGAGACAAGAGGTCAGAGAACGAGGTATCAGAGAGCTAGAACGTAGAGGTGGCACCAGGACTGGAGCGACGACGATCAAGCGGAGATGGAGTGGAGAACCGGGGTAGAAATACTGGTGAAGATGAGGCTGATGGCTGGCAGGTATGGCGGGCGGAGGTGGAGGTTGACAAGACACAGGTGCGGATCATCAGCCAGGCTCCGGAGCGGAGAGAGGGAGAGCACACACAGAGGGAGAGGGGAGGATACGGAGCAAGTCGTCCTCCACTGCTGTTCATTAATCTCTTCCCAGTCTGCCTCTGATATCACAATATCCACCTCTTTTTCCGACCATCTTTTATATATGATGTATAAATGTTAACGCATTATTATTGCGTTAACGCATTAATTAATTAATGCCGACAAATATTTTTACACACGTTAGCGATGTTTTTATTATTATTATTATTATTTTGAAAGTTCGTTGCTCACTGGCTCTGAATACACATACAGTCAAACCATGGGTCACAGGAGGGGTGGGATGTTGATTAGCCTGCAAATTACCCACCCAAACAAGCAGTGGAGGGAGGCTTCAGCAGACTACGTTGAATGCAGCATGTGGGAGAAGTAGATAAACAATAGCAAGACAAGTGAACAAATGCCATAGCGAAGTGGATGGCTACACACTGCAGGCTGATTAGTATTGTGGAAGATGTCGGTCTTAGGAAAGTTCTAAAAATCACAACGTAGTCACTGGGCACCACGCTCCTCAGGTGATTTCAGACAGAGAGACAAGCTCTCCGCGAGTAAATGGCAGGCGCTCTAAGGATAGTAACCATGACAACGGCTTCTGTGCGCTACACAGCTGTAGCCTATTTAACTGAAGTTAAAATTATAGGCTAACGTTACATAACTTTACCAGATACATAGCCTTCATCTAGTTTTACGGGGATGCTCTGCCATGCGAATTCCCTCCTTTTGATGTCCAATTTAGTAAACAGTAATAGATTGTGGAAACTCACAAACAGTGAGGATCAGTCTCTCTTCCAATGATTTGTGCTGCGCATCACGTCCAAAAAGTTCAAGTATAATTCAACTTCGGCAGCAGGTGGGCGTGTGCGTGACGGGAACGCGCTCGCTTGTCGCTACGCCTTGTGCTCGACCACTTCACCTTCACTCTAAAAGGGACACTTGCTTCTGAAGAATGTGGGCAGAAACCCCGCAAAGCAGCTGGGCTGGACTCTGTCTCCCCATCCACCCTGAAGCAATGTGCTGATCAGCTGTCTCCAGTGTTCACAGATATTTTTAGCACCTCACTGGAGACATGCCATGTGCCAGCCTGCTTCAAAGCCTCCACTATCATCCCTGTTTCCAAGAAACCAAGGACCACTGGACTAAACGACTACAGACCTGTCGCCCTGACCTCTGTGGTTATGAAGTCCTTTGAACGCCTTGTGTTGTCCCACCTAAAATCCATTACAGACCCACTCCTGGACCCCCTGCAGTTGCCTACAGAGCCAACAGGTCTGTAGATGATGCAGTAAACATGGCCCTTCACTACATCCTCCAGCACCTGGACTCCCCAAGACCCTACGCCAGGATCCTGTTTGTGGATTTCAGTTCTGCTTTTAACACCATCATCCCGGCCCTGCTGCAGGACAAGCTCTCTCAGCTGAACGTGCCTGATTCCACCTGCAGGCACTGACTTCCTGACTGACAGGAAGCAGCTCATGAAGCTGGGAAAACATGTTTCTGATTCCAGGACCATCAGCATCGGCTCCCCTCAAGGCTGCGTTCTTTCCCCCCTTCTCTTCTCCCTGTACACCAACAGCTGCACCTCCAGTAAGCAGTCTGTCAAGCTCCTGAAGTTTGCGGATGACACAACCCTCATTGGGCTCATCTCAGGTGGAGATGTTCGTGGACTTCAGAAAGAGCACAGCCCCACCCTCCCCCATCATCCTGTGGGACTCCCCAGTCACCACTGTGGACTCCTTCCGCTTCCTGGGCAACATCATCTCCCAGGATGTACTTCCTGCAAATTTCTCTGCATATGTAAATATTGTTTCATCTCATGTCGTGCACCGACCTACACATATTTGTTGTTGATTGTTGATCTTTGTTGTTATATATTTTTATGTTGTCAGATTATATATATATATATATATATATATATATATATATATATATATATATATATATATATATATATATATATATTTATATGTACACAGTATTTTCTTCTGTTGCGTTACTTGTGCACGGCACAGACCCAGAATAATGCACATGTATACATCTGCAACGTTGTTCTTCCATTCCATATTTATATATTTCTACATTTATTTATGTTGACTGTATGTTTGTCTACATGTAGCACCTTATCACCACAGCAAATTCCTCGTATGTGTAAAACACTACTTGGCAATAAAGCTCCTTCTGATTCTGAATCTGAAGGTAGACTGTTTATGCTGCTCCCTGATAAAAGAAAAATGTTTCTGCTGATACTTGTTTAGAAAAAACAAAACAAGAAAACAGATTTATATATGTTAACCTGTTGCTCAAAATGTGCCTGTTATGATGTGATGATCGTGGCTCTGGACTCTGATGGTAACTTGTTTTAACAGATAAAAGGAAATGCCTTGGCAGTGTTAAATAGCTTTGGTTTTGTATTTGATTTGATTACATGTTAATTAATGTTTAAGTTGAGATTTACAAGAAATATTTTATTCCTACTATGTAAAGGGAATACTGCTGGTAAAAAGCACCTTATTTTTGGTTAACTGCAGTGGTCTGTATCTGGTCCTTAGTCTCTTGATTTTCCAAATAAATCTTGAGATAATTTTATCCCATTCCTTAAATCCTTTGTCTATAATCTCCACTGGCATAGTCTGAAACAGATACAGCAACCTTGGGAGAATATTCATTTTAATCACCTCCACACTAGAAGTGACACCCAAGAAGGGAATTACGCTCCATCTACAAATATCTGATTTTATTTTACTAATAGGTGGATTATAATTCACTGCTTTTAATTGATTTAAGTCTTGTAGTAGATCAACTCTCAGATACTTCATTGATCCCCAGTCTGTTCCATATCCTTTCTTAATAGCTTAGTCTGGCCTATAATGAAAAGCAAGAACCTGTGTCTTCTGTATATTCAGTTTATAACCAGATAGTGTTGCAAAATCCCTAAGAATTGACACGAGAGCAGGGAAGGACCTTATGGGTCTTGCTAAATATATCAGGACATCATCTGCAAAGAACGCCATCTTTTGCACTCCCCCCTCCATATATATACCTTTTGTATTGTCATTTTGTCATATCCATTGGCTCAGTGGTTCCAGAAAAATGGCAAGGAGAAGAGGACTCACAGAGCAGCCCTGTCGGGTTTATTACATAGAGCTAGTATGGTCTTGATAAACCTCCCATGGAAGTTTAGCCACTCTAACACATTATATAAAAAGTCCCACCTAACAGAGTCAAAGGCCTTTTCTGCATCTAATCCCACAACTATGGCTTCCACCTGTTTTTCAATGACATGGTTCATTACATGTAAAGTGTGCCTGATGTTGTCTTGTGTCTGTCTCTGTCTTATAAACCCTGTCTGAGCTAAGTGAATAATTTCTTCTCTATACGCCTGGCTAAAATAGCGGGGAACAAATGATAATTTTGATTAAGGACACTTAAACACAGGTCTATAGTTATCACATTCCAATTTTCCTCCTTCCATGAATATGGGATGTCTCCCCT